GTAGGAAGTGTTTTAGTAAGTTATAATACATTTTAAAATAAGTCAGAAGTACAGAACATATTACAATTTTAAAATGTTACAACTCAGTTCAAAATTTAAAACAAGTTGCCATTTATAATAGTGTCCAACTATCGAAAACCATAATTATATGTTATATTAATTGTATTTTTTAACTAACTTGTCAGATAAAATATGATATGAATTATATGATGCTATAAACTATAATTGCTATGACATTTATTTAATTATAATTTTTTTTTATCATCGCATTTTTTATTAATTAGTTTTTATTTAAATATAGGAGAAGCAAAGAGTTGAAGTGTCAGTGGACGTTTAAAAAGTATAATTAAGTATTATACAATTTGTGCATTAATTGAAAAATACATAAACATTTTTTTCTAAGTTATAAAAAATGAAATAAAAACCTGAACGCTCATATAAATTGTCTATGAAAATAAAATACAAAACATTAGCACATTATTAAAGAATATCCTATTCTTAAATTTGTAAAACTAAAAACGTTAAAATAATAATTTAGGATCAGATGAAATATATTTATTATCATTTAATTCGATTTAAATAACTGTGTAGACTTATGACTTTTCATGTTTTTATGACTTTAAATTAAGTATAACAATATTTCGACGATCATGATAAAGAATAATTTAAAAATGAAAACCATAATTTTAACCTTTAATTCTTTATTTTGTTAATTTTTACTCTGAATTATTAGTCTTCGAATAGGTTTATAGGTTGATCAAATAAATGTGCGTCATAATTTTGCGCCCTGGCAGTGCTTAAATAATTTTATTGTATAATTTTTTCTTATATCGTTTATATTCTGTGAAAATAATGTAATATTTTTCAAGGGCTTAAAACTATATTAAAACTCGTGTGACATATCACACGGGAAACTGTATGACAAAATAAGAGTACCACAAATGATTATTTGCGTATTAAAAAAAAAACCATATTTTATTCCTGACCGTTTTTAAAATGATAAATTATTGAATATTTATACACATCCTTATTTATTTGTTAATATTATTATATACTTTTGCCAGTTACAACTTATACATATTTATGAATTCTCAGAGTATAATTCAAAAAGTTAAATCATTTCTGATAATTCTTAATGGAAACGTTCCAAGATGGTGTTATATTTTTTGTTCCCATTTTATTTATTTTTTTTAATCCAAAACGAGGCAGATGTTTTTGAACAAAAATATGATTGGTGAGCTTAGCGTCGGTGGTATTGCCTTTGCCGCTACGCCAAAGGAGCAAATCTCTTAATTTCCGAATACTCATAACTTTCACGGGTCCATGAAAATAATCTAAAATGTGTTAGTAATTGAATTAAAAAATAAAGTATGCGTAGTGGTGGTGGCAAGACAGTGAATCGAAAGACTTTTTTCATTCAATCAACATCCCTTTAGAAATTATGTAAAAAATAATTCCGCCAAGTGTAGCATTGATTTTTTTACCGGAAGGGGCATGAGGCGGTGAGGGTATCCGACGTGTATTTATACTTATATAATAATGTACATACACATGTATACATATCATTTATTATACACAATATATTATACATAAATAGTTTATTGCTTTAATATTACAATCACCTGAGGCTTGTAGCTTGCTGCGGGGTTACCGTTTTTCACCTTCCACCACCACGATCCCGTGTGGATTGCTAAACAATGGGAGATAATAATAACATGTTCTACAACAATGCACGATAAATCGCTCCTGATGGTTTAGCTGTGGTAGAGTCAAATTAATTTACAATGAAACTGCGAGGTGCGAGAAGACTTGCGGGACCAAAAATTATTGTTAAAAATTAATTTATAATATCATATACTTAAATTCATATTATTATGTTTAGGTTTATGGTAGGTATATATGGTTATAATAGTATCAATCCATAAGAGACACAAAATCGTTTGTTTAGTATGTGGAGTGAGTGTTCATACTTGATCGTAAAATAATGGATTTGAGACGATATTATGCTAAAGTGAGTTTATGTGCAAATATTTTATCCGTCATATTAATAATTCTCAATTAGGGATGCAGACAAAATACGTGTTTCATTAGTTTAAATATTCTCGAGTTATATTCTGATCATAATCATTAAAATTACACTGATCGCTTTTTAAGTTTTGTGTTAAACCTGGAAAATGTTTAAGTAGTTTTATAATCAACCCGATCATTAGACGAACAAAGTGTTGAATATTTTAATCGACTTTTATTTAAAAAAAATTTTTTTTGTTATATAATTTGCACGAAGATTGCAGTAAAAAAATAATTGTATCTGACGAAATGTCTATTAAAATGTTAATATTTTAATAAAGAAAATCATTTTTTTACGAATAATTTGTATTTTTATTCCAAGTTAATTTGAATCTTAAGTCTGATCAGAAGCCATAATTATTAGATTTGCAATACTATAATAGAAATGGAAATCATTATGAATTTATTAATACCTATGTAATACAAACGGACATTAATTCTTAATCACTATATGTATATTCTTTATCATTAAAATATATTTTTATTGTGTCAACATATTATACGATATACTTTATTTCAGGGAAAATTTGTTGTCGATTTTCACATAACATGGAACGTATAACATAACATAAATTTGCATTCGCATCAGTAACGTTATTATAATATATTTTTTTTATTTGAATTAACTCGGCAACTATAATGGACATTGGCAACAATGAGTTTAACTCTAAATTATTTACATGTTATATAAATTACATATTAAATACTATTGATAAGGTTGGACTTAGTAATAATAAGGTTATTATTTGTCTTATGTTGTCTGGGTGGAGGGCATTCTGACAGGATGTTTGAGATGCCTGCTTCCCGTCTATCCGTTTCGTATTATTACAAAATTTTATTTGGTTTTTAAAAAAGCAAATATGCAAGTAAAATGTGTTTGAATTAAATATTATATGTATGCAATTTATGCATATTAATACCTGATGTGTAACTTTTTGATAAATTTCTGGTTGGAACTTCTATGGCGAAGCTCTTACTATTTTATAATAATATTATGTATACTCCAATAGGTATTTCAGTACTTGTAAGGTTCCTTATTAAAACTTATAGAATTATCGTGTGTACATCTCACAACAAGTGATAATGTTCTATCCTGTCAAATTATCCGCTTCGCTTAAATCGTTAAATGAAAATTATGGGACATTTTGAGAACACGCCATAATTCCTGATCAAGTTTCAGATGCCTTGTTAGCTGAGCTCGTTACATATATTACAGCTTTTAACTCCTCCGATCGGGTTACACGGTATCCTTTTTTTAAAGTCTATTACAATCATCTCTAATATCTTAAATTTCTAAACATGTCATACCATTGAAATAATTTAAAACACATTATTTTCTTTACGTACCCTTATTATAAATATTATAGTTTAAATGTATGACAAATCAACAAATTTAAAACAAAAATATTAATTAAATAAATAATAATAATCTTAATTATTGGTTTTGGTTAAAATTACGATTAAATAAGATATAGGTACTGGTAAGTGATAACACGACTATATTTGGAAAAAATTAACTTTTCTTAATAGTTATGAAATGTCATATAGAACTAAACTTATTGATTAAAAGTTCAAACAGTTTACGTAATTATATCTATATATCATAGTTTTATCTATAATCGTGATAATATTTATTATATACAATAACCATCGTTGAAGGTATACACAAGCATAAAAAAAATTATTGACAACTGAGAGTTATCATAATTTTCCGCTAGAAGTGCTAAATATTAGTTCTAAATACATTTGGTAGCCTAAACGGAACATAACTAAAAATTAAAAAATTCGTATAACTTTAAATATCAGTTGTGTAAGTAACAAGTGTAACTAGTATATATTTATTCGTGTTTAAAATTGAGTTAGGTATATGGTAGTTAAATTATCAACTAAATCATCAGTTCTGTAAATAGTTTTTGTATTTTGAATTCATACGTTTTAATAATTGGAAATATTTGATTTGTTAAATGTTTTAATATAAATTACCATTGTACCCCTTAATTATTATATATAAACTCATTTTATGACCAATGTCATATAGATTTTTTTTTAAAATTTTAACCATAGTATTCTGGTGGTTTAATATGATTTAAGTTAACTCTTTATAATGTATCCTACTAGCGTTTGAATAAACCATATAGGTACAATTTAATTATAATACGGTTAGATCGGAAAAGTGAAATGGAACTAAAACGTTGATAATGTAATACGCATTTAAAATGTAATTCGTTAATTATGACCAAAACTTTTTGCTACCTAATACAATTAAAAGTTAAAGCATATGACACAAATAGAAAGTTTTCTCATCGGAAATTAACATAAAATAATTTTAAAATAGATTAAAACATTTGAAACTCATATTTGAATAAAAGCGTAAGTCGTTAAATTTCAAAGTTATGAAATATATATGTTTACGTACAATCGTAAGATTATAATAAATAACCTATGATTTGTTTATAATCTATGATTATTAATGATCAAAACATAAAGTGAAAATGTATATCACCACTTCATAGTATTAAAGGTCTGATATAAAAATGTCTAAAAATAAAAAAGTCACACAATTATCAACGAAGCTGAAGATATTCTATAAAGAAAAATACCAAAGTCTAATAATATATACAAAAAGTGTGAATAGTTCTCAAAATGATTTTTTTAAACTAGTTACTTAAAAGTAAAAATATTGCTTATATTTTATACAGTTTTTCCCATGTCATTATCATAATATAATATGTATAGAAACACGGTCATGTTTTTGTTTTTTTAAAAGAAAAATATATTTCAATTTAAATATGTCAGCTTGGTTTTTTTTTTTTTTAGAAAAAGAAACGAGAAATTCAAATTTTAAAACATCATATTTTCAACATCCCAACAAACGATTGTTTACGGAATTAAAAATAACTTTGATAGAAGATTACAAAGCAAAAACCACTTACCCAGTTCTTGCGAAGTTTCCCAAGTAGAGTATCATAGCGTCAGACAATAAAGCTTCTGCTTTTGTGAAATTTCTGGAAAAATGATTCATGCCATCAGTTACCATTGGAGCGCCAAACATATATGGAAGTTCTTCTCCGTGGGCAGTACCTATCCTCTATAAAGAAAACAATTAAGTATTAAGATACCATTAAAAACAAATAGTTTTTACCATTATGTTACTTAAGTGAATAAGAAGAATTAAATTAAATTTTTAACTTAATTTAAGCAGTTAACAAAATACTAGTCATTTAAACGCAATAAATTAATGATTGTTTTAATTTATTTCAAAAATAAATTAATATTAAATTCAAATTACTGAAGTATTTAATACAAATTTTTGAAAACATTTTGTTCATAGTGTTTCGTCGTCTTTATACTTATAAACACAACTTGCTTGCCTAGTATAACATATTAATATTTTCACTATTGTATATTACAATTTTAGTAATAATTGAAACCTTATCAAAAATGTAGGTAAAAAACAACTATATATTTAGATTTAGATCATACACAATTCAACTATAATAAAAGTAGGTTACATGTATTGATAAATTTAGTCACCATTTTCAAAGTATTAATAAGTTGAAATGTTAATTAATGAGATAAAATATATTATAATTGTCAACAAATAAAAGTATTCTTATTTAAAGCTAAAATGTAGTTTAAAAAAGTTTTTATTGATTTCTTTGGTACGATGAAAAATGTCCAAGAGTTCACTGAAACGTATTTATAATTAAAAATTATATTGGTATAAATTTTAAAGAAAAATATAACTTGAAAACAAAATTCTCTTCATTTTTAAGTCGTTTTAGTATGATAATACACCTAAAATACACAACATTGCACTTAGACTCTCCCCATTGCAACACTCATTCTAGTTACTCATACTTATACAAAAATACGTAAAAGAAAACCAAAATAAGGATTTAAACCACAAAAACCAACGATAAATTAAACTTAGAATGATTCAAATATATTAAAATAAGTACTGAGATGAAAAAATGCACAAATTTAAACAACAAATGAACAAAGACGGCAAACTAAAATGTTCATAAAGTAAGATTTGTTTTTATTTAGAATTTAGTTAATATAGGAAACTCGGGGTAATTTTAATCTACTAGTGTGTTTTAATTTTACAAAGCAATTATATTTGCTTTCTGAAAATCTATGTGAAATGCCGGCACCCAATTCAGAGACTACTTACATCGATTCTTTTTTAATTCCACAAACACACAGGTCTACTCCAAAAAAACAGATAGCATATGTCCATAGTTTTGTATAAAATATTACTACAATAAATTAAATATTCATATATCATATATTTTAAAATGTATTGTATACAATTTTAAAATATTGTATTTTTAATGTATCGTTAGAAATGCTTATATAATCGAAGATCCGTATACATTGATAGTAAAAAATTAATATTTTATGACATTAAATATATTTATTGCATACACGTATAAACCATTAACTAGTAACTACAATAGAAAACAACTAAATGACTATATTTAAGACAATATATTAAAAAATGTTTCCACTTGTTTTTGGGTTTTTGAAAATAATGAGTGCAAATAAAAATACATCTAAACAGTTATGTATATGATAAACTTTATATTTGTAAATTATAAAGTTTCTATTAATTAATGCATTTGATGAAAAAAAAAAAAAATGGAAATATTATACCTTTGGAATACAACTTTGGATGAATCTTAAGGTATACAGCTAAATTGTAGTTCACGTAGTCTTCCGATAATTTTTAACTAAGAAAATAAATGTTAAAATAGCCATAAGGGAAAGTAGGTATTGAGATTTATAATACATTTTAAGGGGACATAATTTTACAGTACAGAGTACAGAGTACAAAGAAAAAAATCTAATTGGAAAGGAAAAAGCACACGGCACGTTACGTCATTATAAAATCGAAATTTCTATTTCATTACTGAGAATCGAAAAATTAAATCACCGTATTATAGTTTTTTTTGAATAACAGAATAGTTAATAATTTATTGTATTTGTATACCATAGATACCTCTATACCGCGTGTCCGCGGAAACAGGGTACACTTTACCACTCATTACCCTGTACATATTTTTAAATTCTGTTTTTGGGACATTAAATTAGATTATTGGATTTCTAATTTTGATAACTTACAATTTTTTTTACTCACGTATTTTACGCATGCGCAACACAACTTACCTTTTTTTAAATGGCAACCCCTATTTTGAATATCATTTTCGGATTAATGGATTTTTTTAAAGTAATTTTGATCTAACAACTACTACTT